CCGATGTGGGGCTCGATCCCAGGACCCTGGGATCATGACCCGAGCCGAAGGCAGATGCTTAATGACTGAGCCACCCAGGCGCCCCTAGGGTTTTTCTTTTCTATATAATTTAAGAAATAGCTTGGCATTTTCTACAAAAATGCTTTCTGGGATTTTGATTGGAATTGTGCAGGGTCTGTAGATGAATCTGGGGACAGCTGGCAATGTTGAGACTTTGAATGAATTGATACCATATATTTCTCAATTTTTTAAGGAACACTTTAATTCTTGAATAGGGAGTTGAGAAAGATTCTATCAAGTGCCAAAAAAATTCATTGGACTTTTGATGAAAATTGCATTAAATATACTTCTACAAATCATGTTCAACATAAAAACACTCTTTCCAATGACTATAATTTTTATTATGTTTCCTATGTGGAATTATAAAAACATTTACTGGTATATGCAAACAAGAGTGTTTATTGTTTTAGTATTTGCAAAAAAACATGAATCTTGGAACATGTTCTTTGGAAGATGGCTTCTGAGGTGGAGTAACTCAGGAAATAACACATATAATATATAGCTCCAGATTCAGTTTGCATTGATCATTGGCTTTACTTGGTAATTGAGTATTACAAACATTCTAATATTATTTATTTTAATTTCATGTTATCTTACTCCTACATTTAAAACTCTACTTTAATAAATGATTTATACCCTTTTCTTGTTATCTTTTTTTTTTAGCATGATGGTTATGCTGGCCAGATAAAATAATTTATAAAAATTTCCCTGCATTTCCATGTTCTGGGGAATATAAATTGTGTAATAAATTATTCCCTTGGGTATTTAATATGATTTGACATACACACATGAAATGTGACACTTGTTATAAAGAGAAATAGCAATAGTTTTCTTCAGCATTCATTGCATTTTAAACTTTTAAAAAAATATTTTCTGCTATTTAGCGATTTTTGAAAAGTAAATATCATTGGCAAGATTAAGCATAAAATGATATGGGTGAGATTGATTACATGGAGGAATTCTTGATTTTTGATATTAGCCACTCTATTGCTCAAGTTTCTAATGCTGAATCTGAATCCCTGGAAAATCTGGCACACTGAAGTAAGTGGGCCACCAATGGGAGTGGCTGCTGGAGGCTATGTAAATATGAAGAGATGTACATATTCAGAACAATCAGACTTTCAGCTTGACAGACTACAGAGAACAATGAAAAGGTGATACTCACATCTGAATTAAAGCGAAGCTGACAGACATTACAAGAAATAACTTGTTTCTTCTTTGGGGGAATGGATACTCCAAAAGTGTGGTTAATGACTGCTTTTTGCACAGGATCCATCTGAAGAGCAAATGATAAAATAGTCAGTGTATAGCTTCAAAGGATAGACAGTAGTATGAGCAAGTAAAAGTAGCTGTATTATTCCTTAAGGTTTTAAATATTAGTTCCCAAAGAGGGATAATAAAGAATCTCATTCAATAATGAGGTATTTGTTTCCAGGAGTTAAGAACAAGAACAAAAAACTGGCTTGAAATAATAACCGCCCCCCCCAATCACAGGAGAATCACATCATCTCAAGAAATCTTATACCTATATAAGGAACCTTGAAACAACTTAAAAGAATCATAAAACAAGAAAACTTAAGATCCAAAGGTCAGGGTTCAAATTCACTTGTTAATGCTTTCCCTATATGAGGCGATGATATGTAAGATGGTCTGAAATAACCTGTGACAGTTATTACACATATATTCCAGTTTCTCAATTTTTGATTTATGGCAAAGTTATAAATGACAGGCTCATATCACAACATAGAAACTACTGATCTTTATTTTAAAATAATTTATTACGTTTCATGCACTATAAATTGAAATCCATCTTACTTGAAATGCATGTCACAATTGTACACTCAAAAACCCATAGCAGATTGATTGACATGCAACCTTTGTCCAGATATTGATCAAGTAAAGTTTTGACTTTTTGTTGTCTGATTGCTGAGGCTAGGACTTCTAGTACTATGTTGAACAACAGTGGTGAGAGTGGGCATCCCTATCGTGTTCCTGACCTTAGGGGAAAAGCTCTCAGTTTTTCCCCAACAGAATGGTATTTGCTGTGGGTTTTTCATAGATGGCTTTTAAGATATTGAGGTATGTTCCCTTTATCCCTACACTGTGGAGAGTTTTAATCAAGAAAGGATATTAGCCACTCTATTGCTCACTCTATTGTATTTTGTCAAAGGCTTTTTCTGCAGCAATTGAGAAGATCATATGGTTCTTATCCTTTCTTTCATAATCAGACAACAGAAAGAAATAAAAGGCATTCAAATTGGCAAAGAAGAAGTCAAACTCTCATTCTTCGCAGATGACATGATACTCTATGTGGAAAACCCAAAAGACTCCACCCTAAAATTGCTAGAACTCATACAGCAATTCAGCAACATGGCAGGATATAAAATCAATGCACAGAAATCAGGGGCATTACTATACACTAACAATGAGACAGAAGACAGAGAAATTAAGGAGTCGATCCCATTTATAATTGCACCAAAACCCACAGGATACCTAGGAATAAACCTAACCAAAGAGGTAAAGGATGTATACTCTAAAAACTACAGAACATTTATGAAAGAAATTGAGGAAGACACAAAGAAATGGAAAAACATTCCATGCTCATGGATTGGAAGAAGAAATATTGTTAAAATGTCTATGCTACCCAGAGCAATCTACACATTTAATGTAATCCCTATCAAAATACCATTGACATTTTTCCCAAGCTGGAACAAATAATCCTAAAATTTGTATGGAACCAGAAAAGACCCCGAATAGCCAGAGGAATGTTGAAAACGAAAACCAAAGCTGGTGGCATCACAATGCCAGACTTCAAG